TACACGCCTCGTTTCGTCGAAGTACAATTCTCTTTCCTCTTTCTTCGCTGAGCAACTCGTTTTATTATAATTATAAAGTTTTTTTATCGCGCAAATCTAGAAGTCTTTAAATTTCATAAATGAGACATACGCCTTTCCTCTTTCCTAAAAATCACTTAATTCACCAAGATAACTTCTCAACAAAATTTACTAATTAAGCTCTCTTAATGTAAAAATAATTTTTTCATATATCTTTATGTAGCGGCAAAACAAAAATGTTTAATAATGATCATTAAGAACGTAAAAAAGTCAAGAATAACTTAGGTACTTCGACGTTCCACTCGCTGAAGCTGGGCTTCATAAAAAAGCTATAACCACGACATTCTTTTTTTTTTTTTATGCAAGAAGAATAAAGCGGCAGTAAAGCGGACCCCCCGATGCGTGAAGTTAGCTAGTGGCGAATGTTTCAAACAGAGGCAGAATCTTACGCTTATTACGAAAATATTAATTGCCCGTGGTATACGTAATGCGTTCGCATTTTGATGTTGTATTATACCACCAGGCGTAATAATTAACGGTGGGACAGGAGATTTTAGTCGGCAACCGGGCGAAAAACACTCAGCTTTGATAATTAATTAACGAACAGCTGTTTATCAAGAAGATTATCATTCATTGCGGATGTCGGCGATCGGTATCGTTCCTTAATTAAATCGGTCTAATAACGGGGAAGAAGCGAGATTGAAGAAAAATGTATTAAGAGAAAGAATCGTCGCGCCTGATAACGGGAACTGGATGTCCCATCGTTTCTTCCTGTCAGGAGCAGATAAGGAACAAAAGTGATCGGGTTAAAGAACCGGCTATCCCGTTTTCCGCCTGCCCCATTAACAACCCCTTCTTCTCTCTGCCTCACGTGGCACGCGCTAATTTGCTGCGTGCGACGAATGCATCCCTAACGGAATTGATTAATAATCTATTTCCCGTGCTATCGATCCTGGACCTAACTGTAAGCTCTACCCTTCGCGATTATCGTAAATACATACACACACTTGTTACTGTACCCTCCTCGAATACTACCGAGTAAACTAGTTTCATGTCGAGCATCGCGATTTATCGCGCCATGCCATAAAGCCTAAACAGTCCGGAACTATCTGTGATGATTCTAAGTTGCTTCGGGATAGGGTTGTAACACCCTAATGGGGTGCACGGCTGTTGAACGAATTTCCCTGTCACGCCGGCTACTAATCGACCATTCCCTCGCGGTTTTCTAAAGTTCATGCGTGATTTTTGGCAATAAAAGCGCCGGCGCGACATTTCGTACACACACATATCTACGTTCACAGACAGGCATACGCCGATCGATACTGAACACATACAGCATCACCCGACGTTAATTCACGATTCCCTAAAGACCTTCTCCGACATTGAGTATCCTGAACAAAAGGGCATGGATTCAAATGAATTTTAAGTGAATATTAATGTGTTTGAAAAAAAAACCTATTTAAAAGAAAGACTAGGTTCATATAAATGTTTTCATGGCAAAAATGAATCTTCTGCTCATTAATAAACTTCTAATATCTGTAATCGATTTCTATTATAAGATAACAAGAAAAATACAAATTACAACACGTTGACTTCATTAATAAATATAAAATGTTAATCTGATGAAAAATTAGTATAAATTGATGATGGGCAAAAGACTGTCCTCAATTTTGTCGAATTTTCCAAATTTACACGAATTTCGTTAACATCTCCGTTTCCACGGTTGTATTTGAAAGCGAAAACCTAAGTATATATACGATGAGAAATAGCATATATGTGAAAACTTCGAAGAATGTTTAGTGTGGCGAGACTTGGAAGGGCAGTGACCTTATAAACCAGGCCTTTTCCGTTTCTCCCACGCGGGGATAACACTATATATCGAGGGACCATGACGCCGCGATGGATCAATTAATAAAAAAATGCGCCGTTACCACGGCAGCCATTACCGCGTGCTGTGGGGAATTACCGTCATCTAGGCGAGAGGTCGATCCCCCCTGCGTTTATTTTCGCGCGTAAAACCGTTTCGCGCGCGAGCACAAAGAGACATCATAATTAACGTCGAATGGCGGCGAGCACGAAATTTGAAAACCTTCCACAGCCGCATTGTCACCCGGGTCGTTATACTCGGCACTGCAATATCCGAAAGTATACGTAATTTAACTTCTCCCATTAAACGTCGGAAAAGAAACGTTGGGGGTGGAGACGAGCATTCGCGCCTTTCCAATCGGCAGAAACGCTCGTCAACAACTCATAACTTTGCTCGCAACGTTTTCACGCCGGAATGTTTTCATCTGGAAGCGTGATTATATTTTGTATGACGTATAAAGGAACATCCGTGACATAGTCGTAATGCAGTAGCGCAGCCGAGCGCTATGCTCCTTGATCTGTGTGAAAAAATGCATGTTTGGGTAAAAAAAAAAAAAAAAATCTTTCTCGTCGTCGTCAGTAAGGCGCCGTCTTGCAAATTGCTTAATGCTCTATTTCTATTCTTAACTCGTCGAGAAATGCGAATGAATATTGCTCCAAAAGTTAGAACTTCCGGAGCGCATTTTATCATGGAATATTAAAGGAAACTCTCCTCAGTTCTCTCGAAAATGTTAAATAGTTAAAATGAAGTGCCAGGTTGTCGAGCGTTCCAAACTAGTTCGCGATGTCTTTTGCGCAATTTACAAGCGAGAGATTCGCAAAAGTTAAATCCCCTTGCGAGAGGATCGGCGATATGGAGCAGGAAATATTTATCCGATGCTTCGTTACACAGAGATGCGATTTAACTGGACCACTTCATCCATTGTTGCGAGCATTTAAATTTTAATTGAACGTACTGCACCGCTCTGCGTCAAAATCGATGGGTATAGTCGTGACGTAAAGCCGATAGGGACGAGTTCATCCTTGAAATATTCAAAGACGAGACAAGTACCGCATTATGGGGGTAATATAATGTGCGCTGGACCAACAGATCTCTTACTCACGAAGTTGTACCTGACTGCTATGCGAAATCGATACCTAACATCAGAAATAAAGTATCGACAGTAAAAGCATTCGGCAACATATTTTTGCTCGCTGAGACTAAAGTATCGACGCTTTCGCTCCATCGGGTATCTGATAACGAAATTCTCGATATTTAATTAAGATTGAAAATGACAGCAAAAACTTTCGACGCGCGCCTCGTGTCCATATTTTTTTCGGTGTTTTTTTCAATGTAGCAAGGGAAGGAAGAAGTGAGGGGGGAAAAAGAGAAAGAGAAAGAGAAAGAGAAAAAAGAGCTGATATAGCGGTCTTGAATATCAGAAAAAGGAGCTGATATATTACTCTACGTATATTCTCAATTTACTGTATTTTCTTGGAAAAGATAGTACGAGTAGTTTAAAGGAGAACTAAATAGATAATATAGAATAACGGAATATTAAAATTGTCATAGAAATAAACGTTATATTTCAACAACTGTTTTTAAATTTATTTTTCGTTAGATATAGTACGTTTACGTCAATTTGTGAGGGGTACTTGTATACTCATGCTGGATGCATGGATTATCAATGACACATAATATTTTTGTTTGCGTTTGTTACATTTGTTAAATAATGTATGTGCCATGTTAAAAAAATTACGAAATTATTATACGAAGGTCAAATATATCATGTACTAATATTACATATATAATAAATTATATATAATAATGTGACCAATTATGACAACCATTAATTATGTATCCAATTACGATATCAAAAATTATCTTATAGTCACATTCCTTTTTACAGCTGAAATATCAACAGCCTGAATGGAAAATTTATTATCGGTGACCCGTGCGGCACGAAACGTGTTAAAATAACACTGAGAAACGATAGTTTATAATTATTCGGCGTACATGTATCTAGCGATGCGTGTAAAAACGATCGGTCGAGAGAATTAATATAGCAAAATCGCGCAAAATTATCGGGCGTCGTCAAATTGCTATTCGCATCAGGCATGGCGCAACTTCCGGGGATATATCTACCGTACATTTTATTTTTATTTGCGTTTTCTCTATACGCTACTATCTTCTCTCGGTCGTTACGGGAATTGATTAAAAATGTATCGATTCGGACGTGCTTCGCGTGGCAAGTTCGTTTTATTCGCTCGAATAAAAAATATTCCTAACGAAGCGAAGTCACCGAAGCGACGCGCGATCTATTCCCGCATTTATCTGTAGAGAAAAAAAAAACCCTTTTTATGCGTAAATGCTCGTGTACAAAGAGCGAACTCGATGGAGTTTACGGTATTTCGATAAGAATGCAGTATCGGGCGGCATTTTGCTTTTGATATCCGGAGTGTTTTTGACATTGATATCTTTTACTACCTACATCTTTTATACATTCAACGATACCAGCAGCAAAAGTACAGCGATGCAAAGTGTACTTTGTGAGAGATAAAAGTATTCTAGGCAATGCGTGGAGGATCTTTAAAAGAACAGAGTTATTCATTGAAAATCTGGGAAATAAAAAAACCCGAGTAAATAATCGTAAATGCAATTGGCATTATTAGCTGTAATAAATGTTCGTACACGCGTACTTTGTGATAAGCTCTATTTCTCGTGCATTTGCGCGATGATTAATGTTACATCCCGCATGCAGATAATGTCTCCGGACATTTCCGCTTCGATTCTTTTTCTCTCGTCGGCGTGTCGACAATGATACTCAGACGTGTCAATTAATAAATCGCACTCTCGACTGAAACCCACTTGGAGGGTGGCCGCCTTCCATCCGTGCAACCATGGTGTCCGATTGCTGTGCCAGCACATTGTTGTAACCGCGGTTGTGGTTGGTCGAATCGGTTCGGTTCGGCGGTCCGAAGTTCGGCGACACCGAGAGACCAGCCTCGGATGAAAGCCGAAAGATCTGGTCAACGATCCTCGGGCAACTTCCATCATGTAGCATATAACGGATCTGCAGAGTTGCTGCTGCGACAGCGCGATGCAAGTTGAAGTTACTCGTGTCATTCAAGCCGGTCAACGCTGTATCCGCAATCTTTCGCTCATCCCAACCCGTACCCGTGGGACGATCCATAAAGTTGTAATTGCTACGCTTCAATTCACTTCACTACACACCCACGCTCGTAATGCGTCATGGTCCACTCTCATTCGCCTTATTTGCATAAAGTAAGCTCCTAGTAACGGTATCTAGAACACGTATCAATTAGCGAGCCAGCCGACTGTTTTCCATCGTAGACCTGTTATCGCGAATATACTGCGAATGTTGGGCAACTGTTTCGATTTTACCTGCCATTCTGATTAGTTCGGTTACTGGAATAAACGAGCAGAGACACAAGCCGACGGTATTAATTTCATGATAACAGTTATTCAGATTGCGCCGTTATTTGCGAAGTAAATAAAGTTGTACGACTATGTTGACATATTTTCCATATTTTCTCCACATATTTTTTTCCAATTTTTCCCGATTTACAATACTGCGACAAGTGACACATGTGATATCTAAACCTGACACTTGAGTCGTGATTTTTTTTCCGACGCTATGTTATATAAAAGTCAACTTCTTTCATTTTTACTTATTTAACATATTATCAAACAACTTCAGATATATACAGATAACATAAATATTTTCAGATGCATTCTATATTTGTAACAAGTATAATGAAATCTCGAATCATCTTCAATATTATGCGAAGTCAAAAACAAAAGTCTTGAATATTTGAATATTTTGTTGGAATATTTGTAGAATTTCTCAAGATTTTCAAGAAACGTTCAAATAATATTCAAATAGCAATTCGAATCTTTGTGTCATTGAATTGTGTCCAGTTTCATATGAAAACAAGATTCAAATATATATATGTCTCTAACATAGTTACTGCATTCAGTGCCACGCGTAATAATATAAAATAATAATAATAATACAAACTTCCAGGACACCGCGTATGCTAAAAACTGACTTTTCCATCTAGATTTTTCCTTTCTTCGCTTCGAAAAGTGCAGCGAAAATAAAATTCCTTTACTATCCCGAGACGCGAGCTACCTTCACATACGTATTGAACCAACGTTTTTTGAGAATTCTTTTCTTCTTTTTCTCCTTTCACTACTTTCTGTCGAACGTCACGATGCAGCGCGGGGATTAGCAGCACATTCGAAGCAGACGGCGACATCAGGTCGCGCCTTTAGAAGCCACTCTTGCAGTTATGCTATATTCTTAGCCTTTAGAACTACCGATGGAATTCGCTTCCTCGGAAAAGAAGTTGAAGTTGTCATGTTTTCCCAACTCTCAGTATATTATGTGTGTGCGCGCTATGTATATATGTATGCTGCGTGTGTGTACGTGTACGTGTGTGTTTCTTCCAGCCGATAATCAACGCGTTCTATTGGATTGATTGTGAGTAGCATAGTTTACGTTTAGCCGTTTTGAATAGCGGCCGTCGTACAATTATAATGAAACATTCCGATGGCTCAAGGGAAGTATTACCAATCGATCTGGTAACTTTTTGCATTCCTCAATCTCATCTTGATTGCCCGTTATCCATGCGAATTACGGAGTCTGGGATTCGTGATTCGGCGTTGACTTATTGTCAGATTCACTCAAATTATCCGCGCACGATTCCCAGCATCGAAAATGATTTGTTAATCAATTATGCCCCGAGGGCCGCTATAACTAATAGTGATTTCGAGATTATCCGCATTATATTAAATTAGTGCATATTAAAAGCAGCTGTATGTAAAATTGACAAAGTTAAACGCAGAAACATAAATATTTTAAACAATTAAATATTCAGTAATAACATTGTTACATTTAATAGAATATACATGTACTATTTCATTGTCAAAATCGATTATATTGTACTGAAATTATATATTTTATGCGCTTTTAACGTGTACTAATTCATTGCAGTGCGAGTGCGACCGAATTCACCGTGAGAATATAAACGACTCCTCGCACGAAAACTATACATGTACATAAATCTACCGATTCGCGTAAAACTGTCGTCATAAAATACTGCGCTTGCATAGCGCGTGTGAAGATATTGTCAATTTTAACTCAGTCATATACTGCAATGTTGCCGCACACGAAGTAAGGAATACATTTCAGGAAAATTTCGGTAAGAACAGGATATACAAATATAATTAAAATTCTAAAAAAATTCTATAAAAAAAAAAGCTCATGCAGACACCGAACGGTAAAGTCGCGGTAGATCTCCTCCGTGTAACTGATACGAAAATGATTGTGTGGAATAGCCGAGAACGTGAACACCATTAGCACATAGATTGCCACGTTTGCATATTCCGTACGTACGAGAATTCTACGCATAAGTAGTTCTACGAGAGGCAATGGAAAACAATCTACGGCACAGTCGAGAAATCTACCGGGATTTCTCGGAAGCGGTTGGCTTCAATAGCATCATAAATTCCATTACTTTTTACACATTTTTTTGAAGAGTTTATCTTATCGTCAAAATGTAATATGTATATATATATATATATGTATGTACAAATTTATATTTTATGTAATTCTAATTGTACATAAAGAATTATATATTCAATTTAGAGATCGAAATTAGACCAATGAATAAATCAATAAATAGAAATAACGCTATTTTTGCGTCAAAGTGGAATTTTAGTGTTTAATAATATTGCATATTTTATACATTCAAATTTTTGCAAATATGTATGGTATTTCAGTTTTATAAACTACACGCCAATAAAGTTTGTCAGATCTAAATGAAATCGCGAACTGATAAAGCCGAAATTAATATCTCTAATTAGATTGATCGTTCATTTTAATAATGAAATTAATAAAGTATTAAAAATCAAATAATTTACTGCAAAAAATATTACCTCAGTATTGAATCTGAAACTCCCGACTTTCTCGAACGGAGATATTCGACCATCGAGGAATGTGAAATTATATATCCATATTATATGTATTATAAAAATCAGAGTTTTGTAATAATTTAAAGAGTTTCAAATGTCACAGATATTTAAAAAAGTAATAAAAAAGATTTATTCATAGATATAACGTGTATTCCATATATATCTTGCTTACAATTCAGTAAAGAATAATAAGAATCATTTTTTTCGTTTTATGCGAACAAGAGAAACATTTCTGAATACATTTAAATACCATAATAGCGCGAATAAGATTGCTGCATTAAAACGCGTGTTGCCCGTAATGCTCGTTCAGTGTAAATTAACTAATTTAATCTCGGTTTATAATTTGTTGTTTATATTATTGTTTACCTCCCAAGAACTAGAAAAAGATAAAGAATAAATTGAACCAAGATTAAAGTTAATCTTACGTTGGCGGAACTGAGTATACGGCCCGGTTTTCCAATGTAAGATTAACTTCATCTCGGATTAATTTACCATTTATTTTTTTTTTTATTTAATTTATTATTTCTTTTTTTTTCTAATTCTTATAATTAGAAGAAGATAAAGAATAAATTGCAAACCGAGATTAAAATTAAACTTACATTGATAGAATTGGGCTGAAATTATATAAAGTTCATGAAGTTAAAAATTATGAAGAAAATCTTCTCGACGACTTCTTTCGATTTATTCGAAAGGGTACAAGCAGAAAGATCCTGAGAGTAATCCAGATCATTAAACTCACATTAGACTATGACCTCGAAGTTAAATCTTTCTCGTAAAAAAATCGCGCTCTGTACTTCAGCCCGTCGTATACAAGTTCTTTTTCGAGCTTCGCGTCATGCGGGTGCATTAAACCGCAAATAGGCCGATTAAGAGAAGCCCTTTACGGCGTAACATTTGCACCGACGTAGACCGTAATTGTTCACCGCATCGTGAGTCTTCATGTTTTTATTGCAACTACACTTCCTGCGTCGACAGCCTCTCTTGCTAATCGCAACAAACGGAGGAGACGGCACTCATGAGACGCACTTGAAATGAAACAGCAGACAAGTTTCGAATACGTGGCCTACGTATATTCGTTCACTGAGCAAAAGTTCACTTTACTGCCACGTTCGCGACCACGATTATTGCCTCAGTCGTATTGCGGTATTTCCTTCTCGAATTACGCTAATTGCACCAGCAAGCAATATCGCATGATAATAGCCACCGCAGACACGACATAAATATCGCGCGAAATTAGAGAATATAATGCGAACCTTCAATCGGTTCGCAACACTTCCAAGTAAATAAAAAATCAACTGAAAAGCGCAATCACATCATAAGCTATGAATAAGTGAATACCGTTTATTCCGTATTTTGACGCTGCAGTTATTTATTAAAAATCGATTCGCTTAATTAATCACGTACCTGCCGGCGAACGAAAATTGCACTTTAAAAGAAAATTTTGTCGTTAAAGGAAATATGAAAAAAATACGATATACAATATTAAAACTTTATATTATTATATAGAAAAAAACTGTATGTTAAAAATTAACATTTTAAGTTAACGATAACACAAGTATACGTTTTCTCTCAAGTAAAACTTGCGTGCTACATCGCAGAATAACGACGACAAATTAACGGGGGGAAAAAAAAGATAAAAGGATGCGGTAGAATACCTATATTTTATAAAAGAAAAATTCTATTTAGCATCTCTTTAGCATCTCTGAGCATTCGCAAGAATATCGCGGTATGATTTAACGCAAATCCATGATATACCGCAACGATATAACACACTGCAGCATTAATAACGTTACTATCTCCAGCGTCGCAAATAACGTCGGATTCAAGAAATCGTGGCAACAACTCCCGCGGATTCGAATAAATACGTAATTGCCGGCAAAGTGCATGCACGAATACTTCGCTGTGCTACACTGAGCTTGCTAGCCTTTAGTTTCTTAGCTCGTTCCAGCAAGTTTGTTGCTACGAACCCGACTCGTACCATACTGTATGTCAGCTGTAATGCGCATACTACTTCTCTCGTAGCAAGAGCTAAATTATGGCTGATAATATTTTAACGCTACGAGTTATCTTGACGGCGACAGACTCTACGTTGCGGTGAGCGCAACGTATTCTCGAATTCTTATCCTTTTCATCTTCGAATTTCTCGTTTGTATCTATATTCATCTCAAAGGTAAACTTTGAATATCGAGTTGCGAAAGTAGCGTGAAGCATCGCGCGGAAAAAAATGAAGAAGCACGAAGAAAAAAAAATCTCAAAGAAAAAAAATTTATATTTTTCCTTAATCTTTATTCGCTAATGAAAAAAAA